CCTAGGTCGAAATGGGCCTGGAAGAAAGTGTAGTAACCATCGGGAGGGTTGTCGTAGGTGTCATCGTCACCAGGGGTGACGTAAGTCCCGGGATGACCAACCAAACCAAAGTCGAGATGAGTTGTGCTCGAAGAGGACTTGGAAGACTTAGAGGATCGGGGCCGCGATCGCTTAGGTTGTTGAGCAGGAGAGGGTATGGTCGAAGCACCAGGCACACGAGAAGACAGAGGCACGAAATCTGGGGGATCACGAGCGGAAAGGGGGATATGGTCTTGAGGATCTTCTTCCTCGATCTCGTCATCTTGACCAAGGAGTCGGCGAGACGAGTTCGTGAGGGTAGAGAGGGGATGACCAGGAATCTGCTCCTCTGGCTGGTCGACAAGGTAGGCGGAAGGAGAGATAACAGTCGTGGTGGGGCAATCGTCAAAATCGGAAGGTCGAATCATTGAGATAGGCTCAGGCTGGAGGATCTCTTGAACAGAATCGCTAGATAAACTGGGAGTCGCGGAAAGGGAAAAGGGGCTCATGTCCTCCCCACTGTGCCGATCATTTTCGCTCGAAGTGGCGGAATCTGGAAAAGAAGAAGAGAGAAGAAGAGAACAAAATTAAAACCAGAATTAACAAAAAGAAGGGAGGTAAAAGAAGGAAGAGCGAGGCAGGGCACAGAGGAAAGGTAGAATAGAAGGATGGAACGTGAGGAGGAACGAACGAGAAGAGGACGAACGGGAGGATGAAATTCAAAATCTAGCAAAAATATGTCAAGAAAAGAACTCAGAAAACTTACTCATGACGAACGACGCTATGTTGCCTGGAAGTCGGAGATTTGGAAATCGCCGGAGAGCTTGAAGTTGCAGGATGCTCGACAATTTGCAGATATCTCAGAATGTGAAAATAGGGAAAGGGAAAAATTCTGGCAAAGGGTCGGTATTTATATTGAAGAAATCAGGAGCAGCGCGTTCTCCACCGCCCGATTAGGAAATGTTAACGGCCACGATGAAGAGGGAGCCGAACGGACGCGGGAGCAAGAGCCGTAGGATTAAAGTAGGTAATCTAACGGTGAGAAAAGAAGAGACGTGGGGGACAGAAGCGAAATTCGAGGAAGCACGAATCACGGGGCCATCATGATTTCTGACAGGTGAAAGGACGTACCCAAGAAAGCGGACAACTGGCAAAATTCAAAATTTGAAAAATACACGGAATCAGTTGCCGGAAGGCAATGGTCGATGCGACGAAGGAATTTTATCGGATGATCGAAGTTAGCAGGATGAGGTTCGTCGACACAAGAGACTCTACTCTTAGATTGAGTCATTTAGACTCGACCAGAGTGGGGGGACTAGATGATATGGGATATTATATGCTAGACCGATTCGCAAGACAGTCCAAGCAGAACAGCGTATGGGTATGGTCGAGCAGTACCAACAGGCCTACAAAAATTCTAGCACCTGGTCGAGCAGGGAAACTTCAACGAGTACAAGCACGGGACCGATCATCTCTTGTTTCCGAAGCAGTTGCACATGCGGACACATTGACAGGTCTGGTCGACAACCAGAATATGCTAAAGGATCTCCGTCACATGAAAGGAGGACACGCGGCGCTTTGTGAGTGGGCCGAGGAATAACGGACTCTGACATTCTCTGACGCGACTGACGCGTTTTCTGACACCAGAGAAAGTGGAGACGCGCGGCCGTACGGACGAGCAGAGGATGGACGATGAGACTCGCTTAGCCGCGCGTGGCCAACAGGTAGCTCGTCCCTATAAATAGGGACGAGGATTATCGTTCGAGGTAACTTCTAATTTTTCTGAGATTTTAGATATACACCTTTATCTCTCAAGATCTGACTTGAGCGTTGGAGGCTCTTCACCAGAAAACACCTCCGGTGTGAGAGTTTCGTGCAGGTTCAGCGTTCGACCGGTGGAGGAAGTCGTGTTTGCTGCGGTTTTCGATCGGGCGAGCGTTAGACTTGTATTAAGACTGATCCATGATCTAAAAGAAAACAACATCTATTATTGATCAAATTTGAAATACAGATAAAAGTAGTCCACACAAATACAACAAAACTTAGAAAGCAAAAAAAACATGATCATCAGTTATTCTCTTGGTCATTTCCAGCTCTGTCTTCAACTACCGCATCGGCAAAATCCAAGTTCAATATGTCATCGATGCCATAGTTATCATCCACACGTGTTGAATCATTGTCAGAGGATTCCCCAACCACAAAATTGGTTTCTATATTCTTATCTTTTGATTTATGGGAATCGTTATAATTATCAACAACGTGTCTCGGAGCACGACAATTTCATGCCCAATGTCCCTTCTTTCCACATCGATAACATGTCTTTTCATCATTATTTTCCATCACATTATTCTGTTCAAATTTTGGCTAGAAATTTCTCCCCCTTTCATAATTTTGGGCATAGTTACGGCCTCGTCCACGATTATATCCTCGGTGAAATTTGTGGACTTGGCTAAATTGGCGATCTGGACCATATCCACGTCCACGGCCACGTCCACGTCCACGACCACGTCCCGAGGTATATCCACGCACATATGTTTGGCTGTTTTCATTTCCGGTTCCCTGTCTAAATATTACATCATTTATTTCAAGGACCGCAGTAGACCCCGTGCAGCTCATTATTTTGTTCAGCTAGCAACATGCAAAAAATTAACTCAGAATATTTCACAAAGCATTTTGCTCTGTATTGTTGCTGCAAAAGTACATTTGAAGCGTGGAATGTGGACAACGTTTTTTCCAGCATATCGTAATCAGTTATGTTTTCTCCGCATAATTTTAATACCGAGCAAATGTGGAACATGGTTGAATTGTACTCGGTTACAATTTTAAAATCTTGGAACCGTAAGTGCATCTATTCATAACGAGCTCAGGGGAGAATTACCGTTTTCTGGTGATCATACCTTTCTTTCAAGGCTTTCCAGAGATCTGCAAGATCTTTTACAGTTAAATATTCATTTTTCAATGTCTCATTCAAATGATGCCTCAGAAATATCATTGCTTTAGCTTTATCTTGTATTGATGAATTATTTAGGGAGATTATTGTTTCTCCCAACCCCTTGCAGCCAAATGAATTTCGGCATCCAATGTCCATGAAATATAATTTTTTCCAGATATATCGAGAGCTTTAAATTCGAGTTTGACCAGATTTGCTATGATAACTATAAAATAAAACATCAATGCTTAGATTCGAAAAATTACATATACAATTATTAATTCTTCCATACGTACAAAAGAGCAAATAATAAACACATTATACAAAGACCTAATACATAAAATATAAATTCAGCATAAGATACAACATCGTGAATATTACTAAAGTGTATATAATAAACAATATAATGGTAATTATAACTAATGGATCAAACATTTTTTTTCTTATTTAAAAATATATATATA